TTTTTTTTTACTTTCACGTTAACGGATAGACCATCATGATATCTCTCCACTGGGAACTCCTGCCTCAGAGGCAATCCTTTTTTTTTTTTTTACTTCCACGTTAACAGATAGAAGTGCTGATAAGAGCATAGTACACTTCTACCTATCTTGCAGGGGGCCTCCAGTCTATTGGTGGGGAGCAACACCTGCTGGAAAGCTGAGGCTATCCTATCCTAAGTAGATTTTTCTACTCTTTTTCTTTGTCCTAGGCAGATGTTTCTTTTTCTTTCTTCCTTTCTTTCTCTCTTTCTTTTTTTTTCTTTTTTTTCCCTTACCTACATTCTTCCTTTGACCAGAGGCTGCTCACCTAGGAGACCTGATGCGGTTATAACTCTCTCTTTCTTTTTTGTTTCCCTAAAGAATTCAATTCATTATAATAGCAGTACGAGGCCGGGCACCTCACAATTCTACCCCGGGTGCTTACAGCATCAGTCAGTTTAGCTTTTTTTTTCCTTCTTTTTTTTTTTTTTTTTTTTTTTTTTTTTTTTTTTTTTTTTTTTTTTTTTTAAGTCAGTTTAACTTTAAGTTACAGGCCGTTGCCTGCCGAGTCTGCTGAGTTCCAATTCCTAATTTTATACTCAGTGCCACTTGTCTGCAGAAGTTGAACTTGCTTGAGGATTTACTCTACATCTTAGGTCTCACGCACTACTACACTAGACTTAAAAGCGGTATCGGACTCATCAGTCTCACCGCCGGTCACTAGCCAAAGATCTGCGACTGGCCAAAGATCTGCAACAGTTACTGCCTTTCCTGCTCTGTCCTATCATGACTCCTATGATACCGTCTTCCCCCGAACATAACGCACCCTGAAAAGGAAAGTATACAAGGCATGTTTCAGGCCAGATACAGTCAGAATGAGGGTGCGTTGTGTTCAGGGGAAGACGGTAGTATGCTGTTCTGCACTATTCTGGGACTAGCACGGCCCAGAGGACCTGGGTCAGGTCCGGTTCCTACAGGCACTCTAGTACTGGCCTTCTGCGGTCCTAAAGAACTGAGTGTCGTGGTTGGGGGCCTGGCTAACTAAGAGAGTACTACTACCGACTAGCGATTAATAATTAGAAAAGAAATCTACTGTTCACTCTCCTGGGTTATTCATCTCCAGAATCCACGTTGAGATTACCAGGCCTTTGCTTGCATGAACAGACGCCAGCGTCTGGTTTCATGCCCAGGCTCGCCTGAACCACCTCATCCGGCTTGGTGATCCTTCGCCAGATTTGGCCTTTCACCTCCAGTCAACCCGGGATGGCCTGTTTCAGACCTTGTTTGATGAAGCATTGTGACGGACCCGCGGGGATGGCGGTCCGTCAGGATCAAGACGAAGGGATGAGGATGAGGATGAGGGAGATGGAGATGGAGCTGGAAGGGACAGCCCAGCTCCGACGCAAACTCAACACACACGTACTCCAAACTGTGCAAATGAAGAATGAGGCTGAAACAGACTGCAGCTGGGGTATACCCCCAGCGGACTGACTGGACTGGAGTCACTGGACTGATACGGGCAGGACTGGACTGGGCTGAGTGAGCACACGGCCTGTGGGGTCAGGCCACGGCCGGGTTTCACAGGCCGAACAGGCAAAATAGCCTGATAGCCCTGGCTGTAGGCCAGGGCAGCTAGAGCCTAGAGGCACGCTGCAAGCGTTTAGCCTCCTGGTCTGAGAGTGGCCTTCTCTGGAATTGTGCCCTCAGGCTGTTTCTGTCCTTCCAGATCACTTCACAGATTAGGCCTCTGATGACGTGCGCTACATACCCCCATCCCCGATGCCCCTTAACATTAGCAGGCAGTAATCCCAACAAAACCCATCTCTCATCCCAGACTATCGATTGATCTCCACACTTTGTCCAGTGATAGGTCCACCATTTCCAGACCCATTTGGACGCGGGATGGTCCCACCACAGATGTCTGGTTGATTCAAACGGCCATCTACACCTTGAACAGCCCGGATCTATCACCATACCCCTGCCGGCCAGCCACACCGCTGAAGGTTTGACCATCACGGATAACATCCAGAGCACATTGACTTGCCTTCCATTTGGCAAAGTCTCTCAAACTCAGGCCCTGCTTGGGACAGGTCTTTGCTCCAGACTGCCTGCCATCTGGATGTGGCAATCTGGGCTGGAGTTTTCCTGCTGGGGGCCGAGCGCTGCTACCCTTGGGCGACTGAATAATCCACCAAACTTAAGTGCGACTCCTCCCCTGAGGAGGGCGCCCAGCTCCAAGACACGGGATCTATGCACAATCGGCGTAGTGCAGTTCCGCCAATCCAGGAGGGTGCCCTGCTTGTGCGAGGCCCTTTTTGCTTTTCACCACTCTGGCATGAGCTGGATTATCCCAGGCCATCACCGTCATCTCGTCCAACAAGTGCAGGGTGTTGGAGACACCCTCACAGTGCCACCTCTCTACCCTCCTAAAACCACTAGGTAGGACTTCCTTCACCTTCCACGTTACCTTCTTGTTCCGAGTTAGGGATATACCAGGTCCCAGTTGGGTCAACCCCTGCCCGTCCCAGTATGTCCAGCCATTCTGGGGGAAGAGATTGCAGCACTAGACGTCAATGCTCCTCCACCCGTTGGAGCCCTCTCAGTGTTGCTTTCACCTCACTCAGGGGCCTCCAACCACCCATACTGGTTGACCACAGATCTTCTACCTTAACTACACCTTGTTTGATCCAGGCTTGGCCAAAGGATCCTGGAGAACCGTTTCCCGCCTGCGGTTTACCAGACTGGTCTAGGATCGCAGCATTATTGAACACTTGCTGGTTCAGCACTTCATCTCTTAGACTAAGACTTGTGGTTGGCGAATTTTGGAGATCTGGTGGGTGTTGCTTCCAAGCCCTGCGGATTGCTTCCCAAAACACGGACTTGAGTTTCTTCTTGCGGAAGGATGGCATCAGGAAGCAGGCCCACACATCTTTTGGCCGACCCAGTCCGCGCTCCTTCATCAGGATCCTTTCCACCAGTGTCATCCATTGGTCTCTGGTGCTAGACTTAGCCACTTTGGCCAGCCAACTGCGGGGTTGTGCTTGATTCTTTTCGACGGGGTCCACCAGACCCAGTCCCCCTTTTGGTCTTGGGACGGGTAATGTGTCCAAGGCTACTTTAGAGATGAACCTCTCTGTTGCAGTGTCGTCACCCCGTACGTCGTACGGGGGGTCTCCGTATGGACGTATGAACGGCCGTACGGGAGTACGGACGGTCTCCGTCCGAACGTGCCAGGGTCCGGGGGGGGGGGGGGGGGGGGGTTTGACCCCAAGGGATGGTAGCGGGGGTCTAAAGGCACCCCAGACTCTGTCTCTTATACACATCTAGATGTGTATAAGAGACAGT